AACTAAATTATTGTGATGAAAAGTTCAAGCAATAATATTTCCTAACACACTGCATAATGCTTTAATTTCCACATATTCCTGGTACTACAAATAGTTAGTCATCTACACAGAATTTAAACTAATACTTATGTAACATTTGTGCCTGTTCAGCATGAAAGTATTTTTAGTATTGGTGAAAATACAAAATGTTGAATAAATTACAAATATCAAACAATTGTTGGAACTGATATAAGATAGTTAAATGAGAAACTTCTAAATACTTATGAATACTATACTATATTTAATTTTATCTTTAAAGCATCTATATTACCCTACTTTTTGGAGCACAAAATTGTTCGAAACTGTAAGACTATTGATATTATTTAGAACATATCATATTTGCATTCAAATTTCGTTATTATTTGTATTTTTTATTTATCTGTATATCGTCCATATAAGTAGCTTGAAATTGAATTTCATTTTTATAGATTCCTCTTTTTAGAGCACAAAACTGCATCCTTCAATGATAGGTTAGCACCTTGCAAGGATATGCGGTCTTCGGTGTACTTTTGCCATTAACTAGCATTGCTAGCAAAACTGCTCTGCTGCTGCTGTTGTCCAGCTCCGATTTTGCAACATAGTCTAATATTAAAAAATTCCTCGAGTGCAACGTGCTGCAACCAAGGCTTGGCAACTTGAAATTTTAGCCGAGCAACAGCAGCAAGAAGCTCCTCCATAACTATAGAAATATTTCTGGGCATGAATATGTGATGTGGGTATATATGTGTGTGTGGATGTGGGTGTGACATGCAGTAACAAATTTCTTGGAAATATTATCAGACATGACCCAGCAGTCAGTTAGTCTTGCTGCCGTCTGGCAAGTTTGCTGGGTTTGTTTCAAAACTATGTCTCCAGTGAGCTAAAATTGAAATCATATTACACACTCACACACACGCCTAAATTTGCGTATTTGTGTGTGTGTGTGTGTTCTGTACATTTGGGTTGGCCAACTTGCTGCCAGCTTAGCATTTCAGTTAAGAAAATGACAAGCGTATCTCATAATTATATTCCAAGGTTGCTTAAAGAATTTCAATGAAAATACCGAAACATAATCTAGGCAGTAAGTCATAAGTTTTTATGACTATTAGTTTCAACCAGCTCCGAGTTCCAAATTGAATTTTCATGTATGGCATTTAAGTATAATTTCTGAATATGGTGTGGCTACACAATTTCATTTAAATATTTCCTTTAACTAACGATAAGTCTTCGAGCTTTAAGTTAGATAAGACGGCTACAAATAATGCAAGAGCGCACCAAATGGTTTCAAATGGGCAACACATGCTGAGAGAATTAAAATGGATTTGAAGGCATTAATTGCTTCTATTGCACACATGGCAATTGGTTTGAGCTGAATTGTTGTCAATAAATTATTGCGGTTTATTCATAAATAATTCATCTGGTTTCCTTGTATTGCCAACTATTTAGGAGCAACTCCAAAGGAGCAATTCCTAAGTCCAAGCTGATTACTTAGTAAAAGTTTATTGAATTTTATATCAGACGTTTAAAGAGTTAAATCATTTAGTGGGCCATGTATGCAAAAAGAATATTTTACTAGTGTTTCGTAATGTTTTAAGAAGGCATGTCAATTAACAGATTAAACAATCCACTTATGTGGTGGCTGTAGGATTCCAACTTGTTATATTAGCTGCCTTTCTAGTCCTGTCAGCGCTCTTCTAAATAAATAATAAATTGTAGCAACACACTTGTATTCATTTACATTTTTTGCAGGCTTGTTTAATTATAACAAAAAGAGGTTGCTTAGGTGAGATATAGACAGATATTAAGAGTACGTTCCTCTAGCAACTCATGATGGTATATAAAAGAATTTAAATGTTTGCTTTAAAAAGAGACGCACACAAAGGGTTCATTTCATATTACAAACTAAAGTTCAAGTAAAGCTTTATAACCAATAACCAAACTAGATTTATGAAATGGAAATGGAATCTATTAACATATTTCACAGTGCATTTACACAGTTCTTGAATTTGGTAGCTTGTGGAGATACTCGTACCCAGCAATTTTCCGTCAGCCAAATCAGTAATCTGTCACAGATGACTGAGGCATCGAATTAACTGCCAGACGACAGCGGCAACAATCCACAACCAAACTTTATTAAGAACCGCAAACTCACACTTGGACTTAAGCCAAATCGACATCAGCACTCACAGATGATGCCAGTAGTTCGTTCAGCTGTGAATATTTGTGATTTTGGCTGCCGGAGGCTTGATGTGGTCGATGTCATTGTTGCGGTTAATGCGAATGAAAGCGCTTCTCAATCGGTTGTGGCTTAATATAGCGCTCTTCAAGCATACGGCGACTAGGGAAAAAACGAATTGAAAATGTTAGGCAATGGGGGAGCAAGAAACGCACTTAGGGTACCGGAAATTGCCGGAAATGTGAGCGCTGCCGTTGACAGCGATTAGAGTGGAGCTCTGAGGTGAGAACTAAGGACACAACTTGGCTTAAAAGATTAGGCCATGGCTTACAGAGCCTCAAGCTAAAACGGATTTTGTGGTAATAAATTGAAATGTTTATATACAATATATTTGTAAATAAATATTTCTACTTTGTTAACATTTGTAATATAAGAAACCTACTTAGAAAATAGTCAAAAGTTTACATACACAATGTAAATAAATATTTCTACCTACTTTGTATAACATTTATAATAAGTATATTAAGCTACTTAGAAAGTAGTCAAAATTTAACGACATTTTATTATAATGAAATTCCTAATTAGCCGTAATTCTTATGCTTTTCATATAGACCTTTAAAACATCAATAGACTGCCAAATATATTAATCATTATGATAAACTTAATCATTTTTCATGACACAAATTGCCGACAAGCGCGTTACATTTTCCAATTTTCTAATTAACGTAGCACCCGTCAACAATTATGAGTAAAAGGACGAGTGATAGACAACCACCAAATAAAGCTCATAGGCTTTTCACAAAAGCAGCAAGGGATGTAATACACTTGTACATACAAGTATATACTTTACATACAAACACCTGCACAAATTGCCAACATAATTCACTTTTTTACGCATTAGGCGACATCAAAAATGTGCTAGCTGTTGTCATGGCTTTAGAATTAAGCTGGCAGCTCATGGGCTCTTGATTGAGTTCACAACTTGTGGGCGAGTAGCTTAACGGCTTGTTGGAATCTGATTAATGAAAATATTAGGCAGTTTCAAAATGTATCAACTTTCTAAACAGACACAGATTAGAAGGTTGCAGATAAAGAAAAAGCTTAATTCGAATTCGTTTAAATGTAAGTCATTGTGCTGAAAATAACACAGACTAAATGCCTATATTTTTTATTCGAAATATTCCAGATGGTTACATAATTGAAGTTATTTTTTCGAATGAACTCTTATCAGTTATCACTTAGGAAGTTATATATTTTGTATGCTATATTATAACAAAGCCACCATTAAGTAATGTCGTAACCGAAAAGGTTAAAGAAAAAGTGCTTTCCAAATGGGACCACTTACATCAAACAATTAAGAACAAATTATAAAGAAAAACTTTCAAAAACGTATGTAGCTTCCAACAGTGGCTTTAACTTGCTCTTCAACTTAACGAATCAAAGCAACAAACAGTATGAAAACCCTTCGAAGTGTATGAAGAAATAAGAATGCAAACTATATAATTTAGCCCAACCTTTTAATAGTCCTTTAATAACTAATATTATAAATTAGGTTCAATAAATGACAATGAATTTGTTAATTTCAGACCCACTTAGATTATACATAATTTTTTTATATATTATATTTCTAGAAGAATTTTTCTTATACTTAAGCCAATTAAAGAGGTACTGACATAATTCCGTATAATAATGCAGCGACGTGAATGTAGAATGTATGAAGGATAAACTCCGCTATAAAGACAGCCCGACACTTTCTGCGAAAAAACCAAAGGGAGATTGCAACATGTTTTCCGTTTAATGAAACCACAGCAGTTGCTGTGGCTTCCTCCCTCATCTATCATGTGGCAGGTTTTTCTATTCATTTTATTTTATATTTTTTCCTAATTTACGCACGCAAATCAAACGAAGACAGCACCTGGTGCTGCTACAGGACTCTTTCCTGCCCACTCCATTAACGGCCACAAAATTGTTTGCTTTGCAGGCACGTAGCAAACCGACAATTTTGTGGAGAGGTATCAGCCAGCCACCAATTCCTTTCTGAGCTTGTCCTTGATTTCTCTCCATAGAAAGGACAATTTTTGGCTTAGATCCACGTGCCTGTACTGTACTGTGTCCTTGCTACCACTTGCCTCCTCCACTATGTTTTGCCAAAATGTTCTGTGATTTCCGGTAGCGAAAATAGCATACAACAATGCGTAAATGAGTGCGAAGAAGCTAGGAGGCAGAAGCCAAATTGCATGTTTCACATTATTTACTCTTAATTTGGATTAGACTGACATCATTCCGTTGACTTCTTCACGTGCCAGCTCAAATTAGTTCGATTAATTGAACGAATACACAGCAACTGCTGATAACACACTTATGGGTACACAAATGCCAGACTGTCCAGGCGGAAAAATTGCTCTTGAACTGATTTTTCACACTTGAAAAAAGTACTTATACTTTTTCAATTAGCACGAGCTCAAATAACAAGCTGCCACTATATGGTTTTATTTCCCGACATATTTCACGCACTCTTTCGGCGATTCAATATTTATTTTGCAGTATTTTCTACCTAAACATTTACTATAACTTAAAGCTCTTTCGATATGCTATTCTAAGCATGTTAGTGTAATGAAAACTGTCTTTTGAGTTAAGAAGTTATCAGTTATTTATTTTCAATAATATATTTAAGAGACCACCCAAGTATTACTTATCATCAAACAAATATTTCAATGAAGAATTTCGAATTGGAAACCCCCAAATGCGTTCAAGTGCATGTCTTCACATTTTCAATATTTTTCAAATTTTGCTCGTTTTTACTTACCAAGTGAAGCGTATGTGCGTCCTTGTCTGGGCACTTAGACCGTCGTTCCCTGTTAGCTATCAAGTGCGTTTTGTTTTCTTGTTTCCACTCTTCACCCTTCTCTTTTTCTTTGTATGCAGCAAATTGCAGCAACCGCTGCTCGACTATCTCGACTTTTCGGCTAGGTTAGTTTAATATGCTTTGGTGTGATTCGAGTTACAATAAAGTTTTCCCACATTGTCGTCAAGTATTGTCCTGTATGTAGTATCCTTCCTTGGAGCGTGGCAGCTTTCGCTTTAGCTTTGGCACTTCAATTGGTATTGGGTCGTTGGGCGTCGATTGGAGGGGGGTGGGTGGCTCTGAAGGTAATGTCAAGCACTTGCAATTGCTAGTTTTTCACATGATTTAACATGCAGAGCACAATTTCACAGGAGTTTGGCCTGATGTGGTTTTACTTTTTGGTATGCATGTGATAAATTGCAGTGTCTTTTAAAGTAAAGAAGTTCGTTTGAGTTTTCTAAGAAGAAGGCAAAGCTATTATTTTTAATATTGCAAGCGATTGGCAGATTGTATATATGTATATGGACGTAAATTGCATTTGATATTTTTCTTCTATTTAATTATACTTGTCAATATATTGTGAGCTTTAAATATTCGTTGGTTTTTGTTGAAAATTTATTGTGCTGCATGCGTTTATTTAATTTGCCAATTTTTCATTTCAATAAAAATAGTTTAATCTTAATTTGTGTACGGGTCGTATACTTGTTATTTTATTACACATACGCCATGTTGCACACTTGAGCATGCACATTATTATTGTTTTTTTCTATTATTCAGTGCTCGAAGATTCGTGCATGCACATATTTTATATTTTTAATGCTGCGCAGATTTCCGGTTGTTGTATAGTCGTTTAGTTTTCAATTGCATTATTTTTCCGCTCCAAAAATAATTTGAATATTGTATTTTATTTATGATCTAATTTGCAAGAATGTTGCGGAAAAAGCACACGTAGTTTACATTGATGTACAAAATGGAAGATATTGTAAAACTCTTTTGATATAATTGAATAATATATTATTGCTAATGTATATAGTTTCTTTGAGGAACACCTCCACAGCTCTGTATGAAACTTTTTGTATTTCCTTTCGGCCACACAAATTTAAAAAACACTGTTATATTCAGAAATTCATCAGAAAATATGAAAATTATTATAAATTATTATTTTTTAACTGCTTCACTTTTTATTAAGTAATGTTTTTTATTTAATATGCGTATTTTTAAGGAATAGCTACAAATATTAATTTTAATTTTAGTTTCTTTAAATGTTACAATGTTTTAGTAATTATTATATTATACTTATTTGATCATTTTTAATTAATGTATATATAATTTGAAATTCGACTTTTTCCATAAATATTCAACAAATTTTAGAATAATTTTCTATTATTACAAAAATTTTACGATGCAAGCAAACTTCACATCAACACCTTAATAAACAATTTAATACATGAAAGCAAAACCAATGCCCTTCAGAAACACCAAAACTCGAGCTGTTCTTGACTTCAATAGCAAACAATTTTTAAATCAGTTAGAAAACTTGCCATTGCAGCGTGAGAGTTTTTTTCAATTTAACGGAAATTTAATTTGAGTATTTGTTGTAATTTTACAATTTCTATGCAAAGAATAATTGTTGTAATTGTTACAATTCGACGAATTATTATTTGGGTTGATAAAGCGACAAAATGTTTTGTTTTTTTTTTTAAATATTTCTAATTACCACAGTTTTGTATTCACAATATTACTTTAAATTTCAATCAAATATTTTATATATGTACTCTAGATTGTTTACAAAGTAAAACACGAACACCACACGTTTCACAATTTATTTAAGCCGCGTACAGCAGTGAATTTTTAATTCACAAGAGTTTCGGTTTTTCGCAATGAATTTCTATACGAATTAGAGTCGAAATCGCAGCGCTTATCGCATTTCGCGTCCGATTCGTTTGAGTTGCCGCAACAGTCTAACGGCACTGCCGAATAAACGGCACCGACGCAGTCAACAGAAAAAGTAAAATGCGAAGCAGATTGCGTAGGCGACGAAACTGAAAACGAAAACGAAACCGACAACGAGGACGTCGACGCAGACGACGAGTCGTTCTGACTGCTGTACACTGTAAATACAGTTAACAGAGCGCTGTTATCTAACAGCATGGCTTGCTTGCATTATTGCGGTAGGTTTCATTTGCGTCACGTGCAGCGCCGTTGCTGTTATTGCTGTTGTTTTGTGCTGACTGTTGTTGTCTTTGAACTTGAACCAGAAAGTCGCTCAACTTTGTTGCTTTGTCGTTGCTGTTTTCATTTTATTTTCTGTTGCTCTGCATCCTTTCTTTCAGAATTATTGGCGCGCTTATTTTGCCGGCTTTTTCTCACGACGCAAGCGCAGTGCATGAGGCTGACCGTATTTTGTAAGCCATTCATATAGGCTTGCAACTAAACTAGAAGGAACAACATATTTATACCCCAAGCAACATAGGCATGTGGCTATATTTAAGCAACAACCCATAATAATTAGATGCATTTTATTTTCAAATAAAACTAAACTTAAAAAAGTTTTCGTTCAAGCCCTAATTAGACTACAAGTTGTTTAATAAACTAACTAGTGGGGCAACTATACATACAAATGAGAATATGTGTTGTTTACAGTTTGGTATAAATAGTTCAAATGTACTTACATGATCAGAAAAATAATTTAAAGTTATGTGGAAACCATGTCGTATACGTCTTCTTCTACGTCAACTTATGGCTTTCAAACTGTCGAGCATATAGAAAATATTTCAAAAATTATGTTAGTTTTGAAAACAAATAAAAAAAACATTCTTGTTGACTAAAATAGCTTAGTTTTATATCAATTAGAAAAATATACATTTAAAGCTAGACAAATATCAGTTAAACCTGTTTAGCTGGTTCAGTCTCCTCGATTTAGCCCGTTTCAAAATATTTGGGGAGAATGGATGTTGGTAGTCTCGCATAGATCGAATTAGAGCTGTTTGTTGCTCCGTTAGCATTTTGCTGTGATTTATAAAAACAGGCAGTGCATTGGGGGAGCATTTTCTGTCTTTTTCAGCAAGACAATCATAAATATTAGTATAATAAGAAATGGGAGTAAGAAACTCGATCCGTCTTAGTTTTTTTATTTTAATTTGATTAATTACTGTACTTTATGAAGTTATTATGAAGTTTCTATTAGAGCTCACAGAGTTATTATTTGAACAAAAAGTCAGTTATTTTTTCTTTAAAATAATTAAAAAGGCTTTTTAAAACCTTAAAGCATCCGTACCGGAAATATGTGTTCTTGCAACACACTAGCCTCTACAAATAGCTGTATTTACTGTTTAAACGCTACGAAGTTAGCGAAAAATCATATTAAATTGAATGTACCGCAAAGTAATGTGTTAACATTCTTAAGGCCAACACAGCATCGATTTTAGCGAACACTAACACTAACCTTTAACGACCCTGACGACGTTGCAATAACACTCAAATACACATACAAACTAAAACATACACACACATACAGTTTAGCACACAGCCGCACGCTTGGACAGCCATTGACAGCTATTTTTGCGCCTAAAAACCCGAACACCTTTTGCTATTTTCGTGCACATTGTTTTTGTTTCCATCCTTTTTTTTGAGAATGTACTCAACGATGCAGCAGCAGCACACACACACATACAAATACGCTCGCATAGAACAATGCAGCAGCAGACGGCAGTTCAAAGTTCAGGCTATAAGCGTGAAACGTGCACTGCAGATCAACAGCAGCGGCAACAGCAGCAGCTCAAGGCACGCCAATGAGCGCTTAAGGCGTTGGCCAGCGGGAGGATGGGGGTGGCTTCTGGCACAATGTAATTAATGCAGTCGCATGTGCCCAGGCATTGAACATGGTTGTGTGAGAGTGGTGTGAGAGTGAGAGAGCGAATGAACGAACGCAAGTAAAGTTCTACAACAGCGTGAGCAAAAATTTTATGGGCATTGCAATTAAGTGGAAAAATAATTGGGGCGGACAGACTTAGCTTTGCCGAATATTTGAGCGGAAAATGAAATGAAAGGCGTGTAAGGCAGACGACGCGTATTCATTAAATTCAAAACGTGCTGAATACCGAGAAATGAGTTTTGGTGACAGTCGAAAAGCTTCCCGCCCAGTCCAGATAATGTTTGCAATGGCTTTAGGCTGCACTTACTGATCAAAAATTTCGCTGTATTTGCAGCGGCACGCGTCAACTTTTATTATATTTGCACTTTTCAGTGCAAGATAAAACATGCTACATTTTAAATTTCAAATGAAATGAATGTTTGTGGATTCTTAAACAAAACTGCAGGGCACGCTCGAAATTATAAACATTATCATATGCTTATTCATAACACTGAACAAAGTGCATTATGCATTGAATAGAAGGCAAAAGCTGCACAATTTGAAAGTAAACACATGCAATAATGTTTTCAAGTAGCTTATACTCCGACCCACCCGCAAGGTAAAAAGGGCATAAATACATATATTGTAGTATGTATTAGGTTTGTGCAAAATGTGTAACAGGCAGAAGGAAGTATCTCCGTGCATGGATGAACTTATGTATGTGAATCTTTTAATCTTATAATTGCAATTCTATTCTAAAGTTCAATTTAATTAGTTAATCTTGGAAAAGGTCTTAACGCGTTCACACTTCTTTTTCTTCAGATTTATGTCAATAAAAGTTAAGTTAACAGCAAATTATTGCTTTCAAAGATTTAAATTTTCGGTTTCAACATTTATGAGAAGTGTGTAATGGAAGGGTATAGATTTTTAGGACGCACTAATGTTTCTTTATGAGTTATATATAAACTGTAATTTAATTATACTTTGTTTTATAATTAAGTAAAATGTTCTTAATAGAGCTGTCTATACTCCAAATTCTTTTTTATTCAAATTGTCTAACCTGGGATGCACTTAACAAAGATACAATAAAATGTTGATATTACTTTTCTCTTGGATGAAGTGTTCTTTACAAATAAAATATTAAATATTACATGTTTTTTGCCAAAGTTGAATTCTTAATAAAAGAGCACTGCGGCAGAAGTGCAGACAGTGCATCGAGGCGCCTCAAAAGAACCCACGCATATAACACGACTTAAAAAATTGAGTTGCCAGCTCCCCCTTAGGAAGCACAGTTACATTTTAATTTTGGTCTAAGGAGCATATTACACTCTGCTTTAAATAGCTTTGGGCAACTTTCAGTAGTCGCTTCTAAGCCAGTTACGCTGCAGACAAATCCTTGACTTAAAAGCCAAACACCATCAACAAGAACAAAAAGAGCAAAGGATGCAACGTGAACGTGAACTTGACGCCATGGAGACGATGTGACGGGGATGAAAACAGCTT